GATAAATAAGATCAATTTAAATTGATAACAATAGTAAAAAACGTTAAAATTGTGGAATGGAACGATTTACAAGTGTAATTGTTTTTTATTATCATTTGTCTTCATGATTTTTTTTTTTTTCTTGATCAAATCTTGCCCAAAAAAATATATCAAGTTTTTTTTTTTTTTTTTTTTTTTTTTTTTTTTTCAAAAAATCTTTTGATTTTTTTAATCAAAATATTGTACGAAAAAAATAGATCAACATTTTTAATAATTTTTGTGATACTTTTAAAATATCGTTGGTTAAGAGTTGTAAAGAAAGAAAATTTTTTTATTTTATATTATTTTTTTTTTATATTATTTAATTTTTTTTTTTTAATGATAAACTAGATGTTTTTTTTTGTATGCAATGATTGCATTTTTTGATGTTTGAGATAATTCGCGGAATCAGAATGCGTTTTTTAAAAATTTTTTACAATGACCACACGTGACTAAATTACATAAAATCCTCCAATCTTCCATCTTGTTGAATTAGTTACAAATTTGTTTGTAGAACCAGACCACTACATTTTTTAAAGATAAATATACATTTTTTTTTTTTTGTGATCCTTAAAAATCATCCGAACCACTCCATTCGTCACTAGAGGAAGTAACATGAGGGATGCGCATAAACATTTTTTTGTTGGGTTGCTCCTTTTCTTTATCGATGTGGTCCATAATATCTATTTCCTCCTCGCTGTCACTGCTGCTTTCACTGTGTTCATTATCAACCGACATTGAATTGTCCTTTTCAATTTCCTTCGGTTGGGTGCGCTTTGCCCCACTATAGTCAGGAAAAAATACCGCATTGTCTGTTTTATTTTTATTATTTTTGTTTAAAAAAAAAAAAAAAAAAAAAAAAAAAAATAGAAAAAAAAACGGGATTTAAACAAGAATCAAAAAAAAAAAAAAAAAAAAAAAATAAGCATAAACAAATACATCAAGTTAATAAATATTTTGTAAATAATCAGACGAATCATAATAATAAAAAATAAAAAAGTGTATAACTTACACCAATGAACATAGGCCTCTAATTGAGTTGGAAATGTATCGAAGTTTAGGTCAATGATGCCGATCCAAAAATCGAATTGAGGTTTTCCAAGCCACCAATCCAATATTATACTCGTCTGAATCAGCGTTGTGAGAAAATTAATTTCAATTATTTCACCATCAAAACAATCACTTATGGCACCCCCTAATGGTTCCCTCCATATCGGAGTTAAATATAGTTGATTCTTCTTTGACCATATGTCATTTATGGTGTGAACGTAAGCTGACAAGGCCGTGAAATCGAAAATGCCCTTTGCATAAGGACCGGGCAAGTCGATCAGTTTATCAATGATTTTGCCGATCTGTTTCAATTTGGGTTCCAATATGGAAAGCACCGGAATATCATCCGTCGTATAACTTGTATCCCGTAATGTGTCGAAAACTTGTAATAAACTGAAGTAAGGATGGCTTTCATCCTTTATATCTTCCGCCCGAAATTCATCTGGTAAATACTTTAACTTCCAACTACGATGAGGCAGGTCCGCGATGGTCCAAGCATGTTGGGTCATGTTTAAAGAACCAAAGATATTACGATCGACTAATGAAATATTTGCTTTATGTGAAGATGACGTCTCTTCGCAACCAAAAGACTTCGACATTAAAAAAAATCGGAAAAAAAAAAATTTTATATTTTAAAAAAAGTTAGGAGAGGAGTTGCGTTAAAAAGAAAACTTTCTGCAAATTGTGCCTGAAAAATTCTAAATTTATAATTGACACAGTGTTACACCATATGTGGTGTGACAATATCAGGAAGTCGTGTTTGCCATGAAATTATATTGAAGGAATTAAAACTTGTGCTTTTGCAGTTAACGGCTTGGGGCTTTAAAGATAAAAAAACCAGTTGGATATGCCCATGTGGAGTATTGCCGCATTGATCTGTGGAACTTTTATTTAAACATTACATAATTTCATTTCATTACAATTGAAAAAAAAAATAAAAATATTTACTAGTAAACAATTAAAACGACAATCATAATTCATTCAGATTTTTTACTGCGAGCGAAATAAAAAAAGAAAAATGGATTTTTTTTTTTTACGAACATGCAGGACAGGTTATGTGCACGTGAGGTGAGTTGTCATTTTTACGTTACCTGATCATGCCAAATCCGATTAATTAAAATTAGACTTGTACTTTGGCGTCATTTTTTTTTTTTTTTTTTACCCCAAGCTTTCCAAATTTTTTTTTATTGGGGATCCAATATGTCCCACATCAAGTCGAAATTTAGAATTATAAAAATTAAAACCCCGACTATTAAGCTGTTGAGTGAATTTCCCTCCAATTGTCAAATATCTCACGGTCGATTACGTAATTCTTCTCACGGCTGGTTCCATTATATCACGTATATCATGTTTTTCTTGACTAATTATAAAGTCCATAAAAAGAACAATATTCGGATTTAAATGATCCCAAAAGTAAAAAAAAAAAAAAAAAAAAAAATACAATTCTTTCGCGAAAAAAAAAAAAAATAAATAAAATCCCTTTAGATATCGATATTCGGTACTCAAAACATGCCAAATCGATGTAAATTACACAAGAAAAAAAAATCATCGGAACAAAAGATCGATTAAAGGAAAAAAAAAAAAAAAAAAAAAAATTTGAATACAAACCGTTTAGATTTACAATTAGCGATTTACCTGCACAAGATTCCTACACAACATATTTGGTATTTTGATTGACATTCAGGTGCATTTTAATTTAGAATTTTCAAATTGATGATAGGTCATAAATTTAAGGTTCATACGATGGCTTTGTAGATTGAAAATCTAATTCTTTAATGGAAGGTTTCAATATATTTTTTTTTTTTTTTTTTCTTTCTATTTTTTTTTTTTTTAAAAAAAAAAATCTTTAATTTTACTTTATCGTGAAATTCCGAAAACTCTATTCCACATATTATTTCTCATTGTGAAATTACATTGTCTTCTTTTTGTTTATATTGTTGGTATTACAACTTAAATCTCAAAAAGCCAAATCTAGAATGAAAAACTGGAGAATAAAAAAAAAGTGGAGTACAATAATTCTTTTTTAGTATTTTGGCATAGCGGAGAAAAAATTATTTTCATACCTCCTGTAAATTTTTTTTTTTTTTCAAATTTTTTTTTTTTGAAAAAAAAAATTTCATACATGATGGAATAGATACATTATACGATATAAGGTTACAATAATTCCAGTCAACTGCACATTCTGCACATTTATGCAAGCGTAAAAATTTTGCTAACCAAAAATATTTTTGATTTATTAAATTCTTTTTTTTATGGTATGGTAAATTTTTTTTTAAAGTTTAACCGATATGATTCTCATAAGAGGCTGCATTTGCGGCAAGCTTTTTGCCCCAGGTTTCAAACTATATTCATTGAAAATGGCTCACCAATAAAATCCAATAAAGTAACCGCCCTGCAAAATTTCCACAATCACATGATTAGATTTTCCCGCCAAAAATAAAAAATAAAAAATTTGCCCAGAAATTTTAGTGGGATAATTACTACAACATTAAAACCTTCCTTGACATGAGCTTTTTACTCCTTCACTGTCACCACTGGAACTCCGCAGACTCGTTGCGACGCTTGTCTTGATTCTCTCGTCTCTAGAATTTTTGGTTGGTTAAATAAAACATTAGCACATGTCAAAGGCTGGAATGCAAGATATATTGTATCTCATTGTTGGAGTAATTTATGTCGAATGTACTATAAAATTGTATAACTTAATTAATAATGTCATTATTATCAACGGCGTCACGAAATAAAGCATGTCTATGCATGCATTAATGAAATACATTAAATAATTTCTTTTTTTGTTAAATTTGTAACTCTGAGCCGACCGGAAGTTCTTTTTATCATTCGTTAGATTCTCAACAAGTTCGTTGGTTTACCACCTTTGTACAGATGAGGTAAAATATTTAAAAATTAAAATTATGTTTTATGAAAGAGATGCTTTATATACAAAATTTTCTTTCAAGAAAATTTGATCTCGGAAACCATTCATTGGCAACTTTGACGTAGAAATCGGTTCATAATAATATCAAAACAAGGTTTCATACCTGCAATTTACCGGATTTGGAAGGAATTGCAGGTTACACGCAGGTTTCATTTCAAGAAATGAATCAATCTCAAGATTATGGCAAGTAAATGCCTTTTAACATAATATCATTTATTATATAGTTTGAAATTCCCTAAATTGTTAACTGTTTAAAGTTTAGAACATAAAAAGATTAGATTATATAGAGTTCGTTGATTGATAATAATATTATCTTATCTATTTCGTTTTTCTTACATAATAATGAATTTTTTTGATACTAGAGATAAATAAATTCGAAAGAGAACGATTTCTGACTCTATCGACAAAGTAGATTCAAAATGATGACTTTAATAGCAAACGTTAATCTAAACAAGATTACGTTGCTTTTTATGTATGTATTCATTTGTTCTAAATTAAGAAGGTTTTATATTTTGTTGTTTGTGTTAAAAATTCTGTTTTTTATTTATTTAGCGGTATTAATTTGCTCACATGGAGCAATCCTAAAGCAAAAATGCCTCTCTTTTTTTTTTCTTGGTTCTCATCACGTCCACTTCAGTCTTGAAGGATTACTTTTACTTTGTTGAAAGATTTGAAATTATCCGGGTAACCTTTCATCAACAAATTAAAGAAAATGTTGCAACATGACTAAACTTCCGTGATAGGAGGTAAATTCGAGTAAAGATAAAAAAATTTGATTCGATTACTTTTTGATCGATCTCAGTAAATTAAAAGGCAAAAGCCTCATCGAATAAGATAAGCCAGGCTGGTTTCACACCCGAGTTAAATATAAAAAGAGAGAGTCAAGGAGGTAAGAACGTGGCTTATATTTTACCAAATAAAAAATTTGGAGAACGAAATAAAATAAAAACGAAAACAAAAAACAAAACAAAATATGAAGAGGAAAAGCTCATTTATCTTAATGATCATTCCGGTGTTGTTCTTGTTTTTCTTGTCACCCACACAATCAGCAATCTATAATTTTACTCATTTTGAAAGTGAAAATCCATTATTATCCCCAAAAGAACCAAGGGTGAGCCAAATAGTAAACTATGCCGACGGCACTGTGGTTTTACGAACATTTCGAAGAAATAATACAGCAACAGAATTATCAAAAGAAAAATATCCCTTCCTTGTTTCAACCGGTTACGAATTTGTATGTTCAGATCCACTTTTATCATTACGTATAATTTATCCAAATGGGAGTTTATCAGAAGTAGACGTTGATATTGGATCAATAGAATTGAATTACTGTGCATTTAAATTTAAAGAATTAGGAACAAATCTATTTCCTATACAGTTTTTTGCCATAACAGATGGATATTTATTAGTTACATATACAAATGCAACGGATGAAACCATGCAAGAGACATATGAAGAATGGGCAATGGTTTTAGATCTAACAGGAAAAGATTATAGTAAACTTTACCTTGCTTCGGCGTATTTTCATCCTATCACGGGCGTTTGGAGGCCGAATTACGCTTGGTTCATTGTTAATATAAATCCTTCTAAAGGATTTCTTCGTTATGGTCCACAAAGTCTTTCAACTAACCTTACATGGCAACAATATCATGTGAATGGATCGGGCATATTGAAAAAATTATCCGAAGACTTTATCCCAATCACAAACAATTTTTCTACCGCTCAGATCTCTGCTTTATCAACTAATGATGAGGGTTATGCCATAATATATGCCAACACGTCATCTGATGCATCCGTTACGATGGAAGACACAACAAATGATCCATTTAAACCATATGGTGAAATTTTTGCCGTATTTCTATCTTATGAACAAAAGGAAACGCCGCATCCTGTTGTACTTTATCAAACGCAAATAAGATACATACGGTTTACTTCATTAAGTTGTGACATTGCTTGTGTCGGTGTAGGTCATGTATGTTTACTCACCGTAAATATTACTGATTTAGGTGAAAGATTTTACGTTAAAATCAGCTTTTTATCTACGGGTACGGTAACTGGATTTGATACGATTAATAGTATTACTACTCAAAATGTTACCATCCCAGAGTTAAACATTAGACCTTTGCCTTATGGTGGTTATTTTATGAGTGGCTTCGCAAAACAAGATGGTGCTGTCTTGTTATACGGGTATTTATATGATGTTCATGGTAAAGTTTACTTTGGGAATTTACCTGAATCTTTTCCAACAAATCTATTTGGGTCCACCACTATTTTAAAGAACAATACCTTAGTAATTGCTCAAAAAGAAAGTATTGGTGTTTGGTCTTTAATTCTCGTTGATATCATTAGATTCGAATCCGATCGTGGTACGTCAAAAATTTTTTTTTCTAACGAATTAAGTCACGTGTATTTATATACTTACTGCGGTAACGCGAATGAAAAAAAGATCACGGATACGAAAATTTCAAAATCGATTCAACGATTCCACAAATTTCCGAAACGATCAAATCAACTCAAGATCATGTTCGAATCAATTTCTTTGATTCTATCACTTTATCTTCAGGATATGTTACAATATATAAATTGGAAGAATCTGACAAAAAATTAAGACAAAGAACAGAAGGACTTAATAATGATTTTGTTTCACTTGTTAATGCTCAAAGTGTTAAGATAAATATCATTACATCTACGTTCAATCGTCCCGGTAATTATACCGTTGAAGTGGATAATAATTTTATTAAAAGTAAAGCTTTCAACGAACCATTAAATGGCGTGAGACAAGGTCTTTGGTACTTCCAAACTGAACCAATGAAAGAAAAAAAAAGTAAATCAGTTGAGGGAAGGGTGAGATTAAATCCTGAAGGTTCTGATCACTTTGAAAAACTTGATGAAGATGGTAAAGTTAAATTTATTCGTAAACTACAAGAAGAGTTAGCTGATGCTATACTGATCAGTAGGGATCGCGTAGGTTCCAATGAACGTAGTCAAATTGACGTCTCGGTTTCTCCTCAAAAACAAATTATTTTATCTATTGATATTAAAACTACTGATGATAATAATGAGAGAACTGTTCCTTCGGCTGTTGAAGATTTAAAAACTTTGATTAAAAATAAATTTATTACTTCTCTTGCTGAAGGTGAAAATTCCAAGTACTTGGATGAAAATTATGGTTATGAGACGTCTCGTAAGTAAATTTTTTTGTTTACGACGCATTTTTTTTTTTTGTAACTTTTAGATCACAAATTGTCGTCGGTTGATAAAAAAAATTTGTTTTAAATAGCCAATTATTGGGAAGAATATCGGTTAAGTTTGATAGGAATGCTTTTTGTTTTTACTGCATTTGTTATCCTCTTTTTAACGGCTCAACGAAGGGCACAAAATTCCAAACGAAGGGTAAAATCTTTTTTTTTTTCTTAAAAAAAAAAATATCTAATCCAATTCTGATTAATTAATTCTTTTTTTTTTTTTTTCATTTAGGTATATAACCTTGCTATATTACAACTTGGATTGATCATATCTGATTTTTTATTGGATATTCTTTTCTTATCTAAAAGTGCTCGAGATGTAGAATGGCTCTACATTCCAAGGTAAGTACTTGCATATACATGTTTTTTTTTAAAAAAAAGATTTCTAATATCATTTTCTCTACTCCTACGCTCACAATTCAATAGTCTTATAATATTAATAATACCAACAACATTAAATACTATCTTAGCATTTTATATTATAACGGAAGAAAATTTGAAAAATTTGAAATTTAAAAATTGGTCACATCAGAATATGAAAGTTGTATCGGCCTTTACTTTGTTAGCAGGTGCCGATATTGAAGCATTAAATATTTTACAAAGCAATATCGCGGATCTCGACATGTTTAAAGCTAAATTTAGTGAAAATGCCGTAACAATGATTTTTTGGGCTGCTTGTTTAGATATTGTCGTTGAAGATATACCTCAAGTAACGTTTCAAGTAAGTGATATAATAATAGTGTGTCTCTTTTTTTTAATTCATTAAAATAATTTTTTTTTTACCCTTTCTAATAATATTTTAGATTTTATATTACAAGAATGTTGTCTATTATAATATAATACCTTTGTTAACACTGATTTCGTCTTGTATAACGCTTACCCTAAATATAATCGGTAGATCATATCAAGCCATACAACGTATTCGTGATGAAGATAACTTCTATAATTCTCACAATACTGATGATGATGATTTAGGTGTTACTGATGTCAGTAAAAACGCTAATTTGCAATTTAAACCCGAACATCACCATGATCGTGGAGGTAAGTCATTGAATCTGGAAAAAACTAAAAGTGGAAAAGTTGAACCGGAACCTGTAATAGATTCTCAACAAGTCAATTCGAACGATGAAGGATTGCTTAAACAAACGACATCTAAGAGTAATTTTCAAGAAATGATTCAATAGCAAAATTAATGAGGGTGAAAAGTCAATCACGAAGGGAGAGTTTCTATTATTTGTTTTTTAGCGAAAATTGTATATTGCTTAAATAAATTTAGATTTACTTATCGTTACAAAGAAATTTTAACAATCATACTTGAAATGTTTACTGTTTATTAATTATCAAAGTAGTTATTATCTGGGAGGTTTGCTAGGCTCATTTTCTTAGCAACCCTCACCTCGTAAAGAAAGAATATAATATTTCAAGAGAATTTATTCACTCGTTTTGGATAATTCACTTTATTCATGAATTCTTAATACTAACAATCATTTATATAAAAAATAGAGAAAATACTACTGCTTCAGATAAATAGTTTATTACACGTATTTCTCATGACAAATATGAAGATGTATTCTTAAATGAGAGAAAACAAATCATGTATGTTTGATAAAGTATCATATTATTAAAATAGTCGGTTTTCAATTTTCCCATAGTATTTTATAGTTATCGAAACCTCACAAGCTAATACGTTTTTCTGTTAGGGGCAAGCCTTATGATGAATTGAAACTTTTATATTAACCAGTTCTTTATAGAAAACGTTGTCAAGTTTATGACATCATAGGAAACGATCTATTTTACATATATAAAAAGGATATTCAGTAAGTGATAAAGGAAAATTTTATCAAGTCGAATTTAATTTATTCTTATCCAGCTGCTAGATATGTTAGTTCTTATTTTGTACTTTCTGTAACCTTATTAAAGCGCGGACTCAAATTATCTGTCACCCCACGTTTCATTTTTACTATGTACAAAATTTCTGGTATTTTATCACGCCGGTGATGTTTCAATTTTTATTAATTTTTTTTTCGCACATGTTAAACGTAATCAATTATACCAGCCAATCAAATTAGTATTTGCATTTCTTAAAATCTATACGTAAAAAAATTATTTATTTTTTTATTGGTTTACTTTTTCGGTTAAGGTGTTACTTTAATAAAAGTAATATACAATATAAACTCGCTGCATTCTCTATAAATTAGCAATAAAGAAATTCGATTTTCTGAAGAAATCAGAATCTCATCACATGATCTCGATAATAACTAGATAATACAAAGGAGAAAAGTAAGACTAAACATCCATTGGTTGAAATTCATCAGTGTCAACAAAACAAGCGTGCAAGGTTACCTTCAATCTCTCAATATCATCGGCTTGACCAATACCTCCTTTTGGAATTCTACCATATACCACATCATTCAATTCATTGTTAATACTGTTTTTTTAGTTGTCAAAGTAATTTCAATATAAGTATATTAGAGGATTCATAAATATTTAAAGAAATGAATCTTATAATATAAATACTTTTCGATCTTTTCAAAGGATCTTTTACAATCTTCATTCATTTTATTGATTTCACGTGACATTAGTTTCTCGGCTACAGCCAAAGTTTCAATAGCTTGTTCCAATGTTAGCCGATTATCATCAACCTTTTTTTATATTAATATCAAATAAAAATCTAAACCATCATAAAAACGAAAATGTAAGCCAACATATCTACCTCATCATGAATTTCACCCATATCATCATCGTCATCTATTTCCATGTTATCATTATCAATATTACCCCATTGTTCAAGCTTTTTACACTCTTCAACTATATTTTCTTTTATGGTTTCTCTAATTCTATTACGTTCCAATTGAAATTCTCTATATAAAGTTTTGATAAGAGAATTTTTTCTATAAATATGATTAAGAATAAAATATTAATTTTCTTTGTAAAGTGGTTTAATTACTAAATATTTGGAGTTTGTTTACCTGTATGCTATAGGAAAAAGGTTATTGAATTGTTTGAGAGTTAAGTTATCTGCAAGTTCACTATTGAGTAAAAAGGAATTGAGAACCGACTCTTCGGTTGCCATGTTATGCTATTACGCGCAAGAAGTAAAATAAAAAAATACGGTCGCGTATAAAAAAAACCGTGCGACTATAATGTTTAATCATGTGATCGGTTGATAACTAGGACGGGGACCCGTTGTTAAGTCCGGAACTTTATCTAGACTTTTGTGCAATTGCAAGAGCCAATCAGCATCGACTCAATTATTGAGCGGGACACCTCGTGTAACCTTAGACCTGTACATAAACTTTTTTTTTTTTTTATTATATTTAGTATTGTATAGTGCTCAACGGTTAATTAACCGGTTAATTAACCGTTAATTTCCCATGAGTGAAAAATTTAGAAACTTTCAAATTTTCAAATTACTTAAAAACTAAATATTGAGTTGTATTTTATTTTAAACAAATCATAAAATGTAACACATTAAAATGGTGCGTAACCACCCGGAGGGATTCTAATAAGCTTTGTCTTCCTTTCATAGTTTTCCCAAATGGTCCATTCAGCTTCTTTAAATAATTCCATTTTTATCCCTAATGCTTTTTCGAAATCTTTTAAAGTATCATTAGTGAGACTGATATCATTCAAATACTTATTAAGTGCCTTAAGTGCATTGCCATATCGTCCTGCGCGACGTTCACGAATAATGTAAACAAGTAAATTTTTAAAATCTAAAGTTGGTACTGTTGTATCCCACCATTGTGCAAGTGCCTTATAAGTATCTTCAAATTGTCCTGCCGCAACATTAGATGATAGTGATGATTCACTTGCAAGAACTTCCAACGCTTGAACTTTCGCACGTAGAGCTGATATGACTGCCTTTTTGTTTTCATCATACTCTTTCTTCTTCTTTTTAGCTGCTTCATTAATATTTGTTTCTTGTTTAACGCCATAATATTGGGCTAAATCTCTTAAATCGATCTTACTTAGTATTTCATCTGCAACTTCCAAAACTTTGTTAGCAGTTTCGGGAGACATAGTCCCACTGCTGGTATCAGATTCTAATAATAACTCAAGTTTGGTCAAAAAGATTGGTAAATGTGTTGGATAATTATTTTCTAGCTCTGCAAGTAATTCAGCACGTTGATTAGATTCAACCGGAAATTTTTTCAAATGTGAAATTTGTAAGTCACGAATAGCTTCAGTTAAATTGTCAGCCGCCTTTTCTTCTTTGGTTTTCTCGGTTTTAGAAGCCTCATTAAATTCACCATTGCTTGAACTTTCTTTTCCATCATCTCCACCTCCATTTGGTGTAGAATCTTTAACCTTAGCAGGAGCAGGTGGAACCAATAAATTGACGATATATTGACCACCCTCAACCTTAATCGAATTCACAAAGTTAAGTTTTCCAACTAATATATCACCAGTTTTAGCTTCTTTAGGATAAAGAGAATAATCAAATGGTGATCCAATGAAATATGCTATTCTACAACCTTTCTCCAAGGAACGTTTGCTAGCCGTTGATTTATTTGAATTAAACACTTCAGATATGTGATTGTATACTTCAAGGTTAATTTTTTTCGAAAGATTGGATTCCAAGAAGCATACTGTATTATTTAGTTTTTCCAAGAGTTCTGGAGAATGATGACGGACTTGAGCCTGAATGACATAATCTCCTTTGAGTTCTAACTTTATATTCTTATCATAAATATCAATATAACCAAGAACTTTTTTATTCGAATCATATACTATTAAAAAAAAAATAAATGAGTAAGAATACTAATACAAATCCCAATTCAAAAAAAAAAAGATATATTTACCGATTGCAAAGAAGTCTTCAAAATAAGAATCATATAATAAATTAGAGAAAGCAGGGAATTTAGGTGAAACGTTTGTGTTCTTTTCGGTTGTATTAAACTTGTAGGTTAGCGTAAGACTGTACACTCTTCGAGAATTTGGAAGTACATCTCGATCAGGACTCAATGGTTTCAATGAATATTCAACTGGGCGCAAATGTCTGCGAAGAACATCTAAGCATGAAAAAAAATCCATTCATTCATTCATTTATTTTATGACGAATCAATTCTGAATCGATAATGTAATAAACAAATAATCACCTAACATAATCGAAGGATTGACTTCATCCTCCCTTCGAACTGGCGCCACAACATCTATCCGAGTGAACGCATCACCGCCGTTGATGTATATAGTATCTCCACCATTAGTTGTATTATTAGCAATTTGGATGCCGTGAAAAGTAAGGTCTAACGATACCATGTGATTTCCCAAATTGGACCAAAATTGGGCTAGACAAACCTATTATGTGTTACGAATAAACTCGTTATAAAATTAAAGAAACTTATTTATACTTTCAAATAATATTAAATACCTCTAATGTTATTCCTCCACGAACAGCAAATCTTTTTTTCTCGATTTGTTCTTCTCCGTTACCGTCACCATAACTACCCTGACCAAGGAAGAAATAATTTGCCACTTCATGACTTGTGAATCTTTTTTGTGGTAATAATTGCATCATATGTAACCGGAAGCGTGCTGGCGAGGTGGGCTTAGTTGTTGAAAACTTTATAGTCAAATCTGAGAAGTGAGACAAAGAAAAAAAAAAATAGATATATTTTTAAAATAAATTAATTAAAAAAATTTATGGACGATGAAATAAAAATATGTTTACCAGCAAATGTTGCACCATCAGGAACCTTGATAAATCGCCTTTCGATATGGCCAGGACCAAATGACCAGTTATCAAAGGTCACCTTAGAACCATTAGATAAGATAATAGGCCTGGTAACAGTAACTGGTACTCTGAATAAAGGTCCACGATCCGAACAAGTTGTATCGTAACCCTAAAATAAAAAGATTTAATTTAAATAAAGGAATTTATACAAAGCAAATATTAATGCAATTTACTCACTTGAACTTCACCATAATCAAATTCGCCAGGGTTTAATTGTGTCGGATCGACTTTGACATCAAAGGATCTTCCTGTATAAAATATATTTAATATACCAAGCAAATTTGATTTCAAAGATCGAAATTATATATGATTTCTCTAACATTTACCTTTACTGCCCATTAACAAGAAATCCGGGCAACGAACCCAAGGTTGTGTACTAACTAACGCCAATCGAGTTTCAAATTCAAATTTCTTCATATTGTTTTCTCCTGAAGTTGGTTCGATTTCTTGCATAAACCTTGGTTTAACAGTTACACCAATTAATTGAGCACTTGAAGTCTGATGTTCTTCTCTCAAGTAAATACCACGCTTATTTGGTAATTTAACCTACGTAAACATATTATTAATGATATAGTTTTTGTGAACTATCCTTACATTTAAGTTACAAGGTTTTACCTCGAAGGAGATATCTTGATCTTCTCGATCATAATAAGTGACAAGATAATCCCATGCTTTTTGTACTTGGATGAATCCTACTCCAAAATTCTCATTAAGCTTTTTGGCACTGTTTACAATGGCATTTTTAATCCTGAATGGTGTGTACAGTTTGCCTTCAGCTTTGAGACCAGATAAAAGTAATGCAATGCATCCTGTCACGTTAGGGGAAGACCTATAGAACGTCAGATATAAGTATTGTAATTAGCCAAGAAATAATTATGGGAACCCATTTTTAAAATGATGTGATAATGACATTACATCGATGTACCATTCATTAATTGGGACTTTGTCAAACTATAGACGGGTGTTGACGTTATAGCACTATTTGATAAAACATAAAAAATTTTAATACGAATTTGATAAGTGGAATTAACATAACATCGAATATTATAATTACCTTCCAGGACCATATATTGTAACACCCATATAACCATCAGTGCAAGGGCCTTGAGAACTCCACGTGTATGCTCGTTCAGGAACAGATTCAAGGAGAGCATATTCGGCTTGAGTCATTGAGTGACTAACATAAGCTCCAACACCGATCATGTCTAAAAAGTTTTTTTTTAATAAAAGACGACGGGACATCCCACAACTATATTATTCATTATAGTGCTTACCACTTGATGTACCACCGGGTGATCCTGTAGTACTCAGAGCGGGTCCACTGTTTCCAGCGCTGCATATGAAAAGGCATCCATATTTGCTGACCACTTCACGAATCAAATAAAGAAAATGACCAGAGTCCGGGTCGGAGGATGGTTCACCGTAACTCATATTAGCAAGATCACATTTAGTCTCAACAAGTGCTCTAGCCGCTCTAGCCAATCCAACTCCTGTCTCCATACTTCCTAAACGAGTATCACCAATTTTAAGAGAAACGATCTACTCGTGATTATTTATAATTTAGAATTCAACTCGTTATTCGTCCTAATTCACGTGAAAATTCCTTTTGACATTATCTTACCTGTGCACCTGGAGCGACCTAAGTATATTACGAGGAAAATGAAATTTTTTATCAAATTATTACTATTACTATGTTATGTTAATTTTAAATATCTAAACTTTTCTTTGAATATTAAATACCCCATTTAGTGCTGGATCGTCGGGATGATTTGCCGCAGTGATAGCAGCAACATGCGTTCCATGATCGCCAGCTACTGTGACAATGCTATAAAGTTTTTAGAGGATTTTAGTCAGCATACAAGCTAGGTATAGAAATCACAAGAAATACTTTAAAAGGCTACCTGACAATATTCCCATTATCATAGATATTAACAGAGTAATTAAGCATGTCCTCTTGACTAAATGTTTGATATTGATATTCCTTACGATAATCAGTTAAAAGTGGTACTCCTAATTTTAATTTAGGAATGTTTAATTCAACTGTGAGAAGAAAGGTGCAAGCAAGACATCAAATTCAATGATAATTCACCTCGTAAGTCGCCACATTCATCCACATCAATTGCAACTCTCCAATCGCTTCCGTCATTGAATACTACTATATCTAAAATGATGCCTGGATCATCATAATTCTTTAATGCATCTTTAAGAACTTCAATCCTAGCTTCAAGATCTGATTTAATAGCAATATCAGCTTCTGTCGGTGTTGATGAAGTGTGTGTTTCCTCCAAATTAGCGAGCTTTTGTTGCACTTCAGCAAGAAGTTTATGATGTTCAGATTCAAATTTGTGACGACGCTCCTGAATTTAAGTCAAATAATTAAATAACAAACAAAACAAATCCGAAAACTAATAATCATGAATCATAATGGTACTTTTGTTAATCTTGAGATTAATTTTTGCGGGAATAGTTCGTGAGCTTTCTTTACGCCAACATGAAACTCGCCGGAAGGATTGTCCCAAGTTGGATCAATGATAAGCGTTCGACCTGATAACCCTTGTATGGTGGACAAGGTCTCCTTAGAATCTTTCTTTACACATGGTTTCATGATGGTTTTTGTAACAACATCACCTAATAAAAGTACGATTTCAATACGAGATCGATTTAAATTTAAAACATGTAAAGATAAAAAAAAATCTATAAATACCGGAACCAGTACAATCAATGATATCAATGATTTTTTGTTTTCCTTCAGTAGTTTTCTTAATAATAAGTTTTATTAAAAATATTGAAATAGTTAAGAATTGAAAATAATTATCAGATCCGAAACTTTTGAGGTCTTACTTGTAGACCTGCTGCACCAGGATCGACACCTGTATCCAATATAGCAATTACAGTTCCACGACCATCAAATTCAGTATATTTTTTCATAAAAGCAGCAGCTTCAGTTTCCTGTATAATGGTAGATGCGTTGAAAGATAAAAAAAAAAATAAAGTTTTAAAATTTTTTTCTTTTTCATGTAAAATCAAGATAGTTACCTCTTTTGGAAGTAGACCAAAGGTGGGAAACTCAGGAATGGGTTTTGACGTTTTAATAGTCATTTTGGTTTCTGCAATGATAAAATTTTCGAAATTGATTAATGTCGAGTAAAATCATGACAAGTCTCGTGATTTTCAATAAAATGTCACGACCAAAAAAAGTTAAAATAACACTTACTTGACGTGTGCTGATATTTATAGCTAAAAGAACGTCATTTAATAATGATAAAATAAAAAACAAGTTAATGATCAAGTAATGACATGTATTATAATGTAAAATTTACAAAAAACTCACTTTTTCGTAAAAAATCCTATAGCAGCATAACGGCGTTGATAAATCCAATTTTTATTACACACAAGATTATTCGTAATATTTATGGTGGTCAATAAAATGTTATGACCCCTTTTAAATACAAATAAATTAACAAAATTATTAAACATTCCACACCTTTTTCAAGGTTATATATATATAATTCGACAAATGTCAAACTCCTTGCCGTCGTCCAGAAAAAAAGAAATTTTTTTTTTTTTTTAAAAAAAAAAATGTCCCCCGGAAAAGGGGTTAATTAGTATTCCCGATGGTATTACAACCTTAATTTAGAAATTTTGAGGTTTGGAATGAGCCTTTCCGCAGGATCGGTATTGTCTTACAAAAAGTTATTAAATTTCAATTATACAAGTTTTTGCACGAATTTCATTATTTTCCATTAAAATCGAGGGGATAATTTATCGACATAAATCAAGATTAATAAAATAATTAACTTTGAGATGTATTGTTTTGTCAAGAGAAGTGTAATGAATAATAATAGGTTTAATTGGTCCCTTTGTTAAAGTATTATTTGAATCTGAATTTGGACATTCGAGATATTTTTATAGAAAATGAATTGAACCTTTTTTTTCAAATTTTAAGAGATTCTAATTTTTTACATTCTTTTTACTCAATCGTTTAATATTTTTTTTTCTTCCGTAACGAATAAGATGGAAAATCGACAAAATATGTCAAATTCTAACGAACCATCACATAATACAACGCAACGAAATTCCACACAACAAAGTCAACCTTTACAACTTAATAATTCTCTAGAACCTTGTTATAATCCAACATTTTTCACGTTACAGGGCTCTAATATTAGTGTGCAAGATATTCCAAGCGAAATACCTCACCTTGGTCCATTCACTTTTGATTTCTTTAGACATCGACAACCATTGTTGCGGTCAAATTTCAGACCACAAATCGTCCCGATTTTTCATAGTTCTGATCTTAACTTTTTCAGTCCTTATTCTTTGCAAAGTTTACCTAACCAAAATCTCAATAATCTTTCATTTTTACAAAATATTGAACCACCGCGATTTATACAATATAATTCTTTGTCTCCACATTTCATAAGAAGAGTAGATGATACTTCTTTATTACCTGTCACATCGCAAGTGACCACTCCTTTTATTCCTACTTCACGTTTTCGAGCCTTACCTTTTACAACAATTTCTCCTGTTAGTTTACCATCCGTAGCATCACTTGAATCATCTATTGTGTTGGAACCACTTGATTTAGCAATTTCTTCCTCAACCATTCGTCTGCCAACTTCAACCACTTCAAACGAGGGTCTTACGGAAAGTGCTAACATGGTAACAATAAGCATTCCTGTGCAAACAGAACCCACGGATGTACGTATAATCATCTTGAGAGAATTTTTTTTTTTTTTTTGCATAAGTATTTTAATTTACAATCCAGAATTCTTTATTCTTAATTTATTTGAGTAGGAAAAAAAAAGAGACATCATTGAATCTCCTAAACGAAAATCCGAAAAAGAAATGCTTAAGGACCCAAGGAAAAAATCTCGGAGACCTTCTAGTACATTTAACGATACGATGGATAATGATAATGTTTCGATTATTAGAGAAGCAACCATGACACTTGATTCTGAAAGAGAACGTGAAGTAAATAAAGAAACTGGGGAACAATCTCTTAGACGTTCTGTACGAATCGCAGGGGATAAACAAAAACGTGTTTTATTCTATGAAACTTTATCACAACTATCAAAGAAGAGGAAAAGAATGGATGAGAGTGATAGCAATGATAAAGCGAAACCTGATGAGCTTCCAAAGAGGCGTAGAGGAAGGCCTCGTAAGAATGAACAGAAACCAAATGGTCGACCACGTGGTAGGCAACCAACGAGGCCTCCTTTAAGACGATCTAAAAAAACTCCAATGAATTAGATATAAAGGAGAAACTCCAAAAATAAATTTTGATTTATAAAATATTAAAAGGTAGAAACGGCATTTTGGATTTTTCTAATCGAATATTGAATATAATAATATAAGCGTGACTTCTTCATCCACTTCTCTACATTTATTATTTCTTTTAATATTGATTTAACCGCATGTATGTTAAATCTCATTATCTCAATAAAATATATTGCTTAATGATGATTTTGGACCACAGTTGCACTATTTTCACAAATTTTATCTATCCATGGGAACAGAATTTGTGCAACTTTATTGGCTTTATTTGATTAGTTATCGTTGTTACGTCGTATTTGTTAAACGTTTCGATTTTTTTTTTATCTTATTTTATTTTTTACAGATTAGAACTCGATGATCTGTAAATATTATTATTTTTTTTTTTTTTTTCTTTCTTCTTTTTTACTTCTTTTTGTTTTGTGCATAAGAAGTAACGAAAAGCTTCACTTGTAACAGTACTACATCGGGTTATTGGTACTCCATCATTAAATGGACGGATAAAGTGTTGAAATATTTTAGGACTTCCCGAAATTAGCTTTTTTTCTACTCGAAATTTGCTATACTAGTAGCTAACAACGAAAATTACGTTAGGGAAAAGTCCGAATCCTGATTGGTTTACCGAAACCGATGATAATCACGCCATTAAAGATGTCATTCCAATTTTATCTAATCTAAGATTTTCTTGGATGATTTGACTCAAAATCTCGAATTTAATGTTAAGTTTTCGGAGAAACAGTGATCATAATATAGTGCCAAGAAAACCGCGCGTCAGAAGAACAATGAAATTTTTTTTTTTTCCTTATGTGATTCAAAACTTTATATAAGATTAATCCCGCCTTTAAAAAAAAAAAAAAAAAAAAAATACAAACAAACAAACAAACATAATAATAAAGTTCAATTTCTTTAGTTACCGGCGCAAAACTTTTTCCGATCAAAAACAAATTTTTATCTAAAAAAAAAAAAAACAAAGATGACACGTTTTCTATTTGTTTACATCATTCATTATGGTAACTAACTTTGAGCAATAGAAAATTTTAGGTATTTATAAAGGCAATGTTTTTTTTTTCTTGAATCATGGCGGGAAAATTTTCGTTATTGAATCATGAATTAAAAGAAACAATAAATTCATTTGCTCGATTATAAGCAAATTCTTAAGATTTAACTTTATACGATTTATGAAGGATGTAATATTTATTTATTCTTTTTCAATTCTTGAATTCACACTTTTCATTGAATCATTCGTCGTCATATACTCCCAAAATTTTTCTTTAAAATTCGTAATCTTTAAAAAAAAGGTCAAAATGTCTGAAAGATATTAAACTTCTCGTATCCTTTTATTCCACCTCCATCATATTCAAAAATGTATTTAATTATTAATCTTGTTCAACCGATGAATTCGATGAATTAAATACAATTATCCGATCGTCTCACATTGTTTTTAAAACAATTTCTTTTTTTTTTTTACCGATTCCTTTATTGTTTATCAAAATTGACTTTTTTTTTATCCCGCTATAAAATTATGCTTGCTTGCCATATAAATCTTACACATATGTAAAATAAAAATAAAATATTTTCGTCATCATTAATTGAATTACTGTACAATCGAAACATCTTAAACCCTTCTCGAATTGATTCGTAACCGGATCTCCTTTTTTTTATTCTAGATTAAATTCCTTTTTTTCTATATAGATAGTTTGAACGGCTTCATAAAAACCTTCTGATTTTTTATATGCACCAATTTTTTTTATAATTAAGAATTAAGAATTTTTTTTTCCCCTTTTTTTTTTAAAAAAAAAAAAAAAAACAAATGAAAAATGAAATCATCGTAGTTTATAATTTTAATTTGATCAAAATAGTGCAGTTGTTCTTTTTTTTATGTTTGTATAGCTTAACGTTATCTAATAAATAAAAATTTTAATTGTGAGAAATAAGATAAGTTTTATGTGAAGAGATATATAAACGCTCAAATGTCATAGTTTGCTTAATATGATCGATATCGTTAATGAACCTTTTTTAAATTTTGGTGCCTGCCTATAACGAATATCTGATACGACTTTATTGCGGTCAAAGGACATTCCTTTTGTCAGACAGCATTGAAATCCCGAAATTTACAAGGAAAATCTCAATGTTTTCGTTGAAGTTTCTTTCTTTCTTTTTATTCACCCGAAAGTTATTATTATAATAAAAGAGCAAGCGCCAAATCAAATAACTCAAAAATCTCGAATCTAAAATTTTTCATTATATGTAATACTAGGTACATTCGAATCCAAGATTTCATGTTCAACATTCGAATATCCTAATTTCGAAATTTTTTTTTTTTTTTTTCAAAAACTCTCAAGTAACAAATTCTCTGACAAATGACAAGTAGAGCGATACAAATACATGGTAATTCTTAGCTGGTTCGCCAGCAGGAACTGGTATATTGTTTCCTAGTTGATCACTAACTCGCTAACAGCGATAGGGACTAGTCTTGATTACTATTGTTACATAACACCAATTATATTCAAGCATCTTTTAACCTACCATAATGAAACACAAGAATGAAAACGTACACTCCGTTTAAAGTTGGTAAATGGTTAAAAACCAAACATTTATTCGTTTATACAATCAAAAGAATTAAAAAGTCCGGGTCCACGAAAGAAAATTATTTGATCCCTGTAATAATGAAACCAAGCGTTAGTTGAACGGTTCCGAATTGATAATCCAAAAGAAGATTGATGTTAACGTATATAACCAAAGAAATCACCTAAAATTTTAAAATCTTCCAGCGGCAATTTGTATACATACAAAGTAAAGAGTACATCAATGAAAAAATAAAAAAACCGAATACTCGGTGTTCGGTATAAATAAATAAATAAAATAAAAAACAAAAGAACAAAGAAGTTTTTCATTAAATTCCGTTGCTTTGAAAAAAGTTTCAAAATTTATATTTTACAAGTTAAGTATTATACTTTACATTATGGAATTTTTTTTTCTTTGGGAACAATCATTACATTTCTTTATCAGATATTTTTTTAATATATTGTTTATGATTGAAGACATGAATGTTTCAAGTTTACGAAAAAAAAAAGTTTCAATTTTCCAAAAAAGGAGCATATATAAAAAAAAAAATTCAAAAATAATTTTAAACACATTTGTACGGAGTTCATTTTAGGAATAAATCTCCTAATGTAGATCATATGTCAAAAAAAAAAATTCTCGGTACTCTATAAAGTTTTTTATTTTCCCTTTTTTTCCCTTTTTTTTTTTTTTTAAAAAAAAAAAAAAATAAAAATGACGGCAATTAAATGAAGTGTTGTAATGAATGAAACCTTGGGATATTAAAAATCGAACCTTAATGACAGTTGCACAAATAAACGGATTAAAGTTTAATAATCATTAAACCTTATCAGTTTATCGGTTTCAAGTTTAAAAATCATGGTGCAGAAGAACGCGAAAAAGAATTCAAAGAATTTAGGGAGATTGGCATCTACTTTTTTAACCCCCTATGATTCAATATTTCTCCTGAAGAAAAAAATAATTTCTCAAATGAGAATTTTTAAAGATAAATATCGAAAACTTTTTTTGTTTTAAAATTTCCATTTAAGTCAATCATTGGCACATTAATGATCAGTTTCACAGAATAAAATCTAATTTGTATATATATTTGTTGCACATTGAAATTTCAACTAGGTTTTGAGATTCCGGAATAAATCTGGTTTTTTTTTTTTTTTTTCTTTATCCTTTATCCTTACAAATTTCGCATACATTACATAAATATATGAACTTTGAATCTATTTATAAATGATGGTTCGATACACGAAAAAATTGCGTTCTCTTTTTTTTTTTTTTTTTTTTTTTTTTCGACTAGACATCCGTAAATGTCCATATCAATTGTAAAAACATATATATATGTGTACAAAAAGTACGGGAATAATCTTCCGAATAAATTATCTCATTTGAAAATATCACCCTAACCAATTTTGTCGGTTATCTTGGCCCATTCAATAAACATCAAAACTAAATAAATAGACAATGAGCACATTGCATCGTTACTACATTTACAAATATAAATAAATACATATATATTAATTGTAATTTCCCTAAAAAAAAAAAAATTTACAATATTAATAACACAAAATAACATGCATCATTTTATTTTGCTTCACACAAGCAAAATTTAAATCCCTCGACTTAAACTTTTTTTTGCTATCTAATTAATTACGGTTTTTCACTTGTAATTCTAATATAGGGTTAATCTTTGCAGGATTGTTGATAAAACAAATTAATTAATTTACATCCCCAATTTATTCGAAACATATATATTTTTTTTCTCCCAAAAAAATATATATATATACACACAATTTTTTTTTTTTTTTTTCACCTGGAAAATTTTCCAACTTTGAAATATTTATCGACTAAAATTAGAATAGTTTTGCTATATAAAACAACGGATGCAAATCATTCTCACGTGTCCTATATCAAACCTCCCCGAGACTTTCTCTTATAAAAAGAGAGTTTTTTTAATTTTTTTTTTTTTTCCTCTTTACAAATTAAAAAGAATTTCCATGATACTTTTATTATGTATACCGGAAAATTCATCGATTTTTGCGTTCTACTATTAATAATATGTAACAGCACGTATTGTACGGCGAAATTATCATTGTTCGATCAAAGTAAAAATGAATTGGCATCTTTTGACACCATAAATTTCATATGGATTAAATCCTCTTTGATTTCCTTGAGCAATGCATCCTTGGTGATCGGTGAATTCTTGAGTGGTTCAACGCCGTGCAGAATAAAACCTCCCTCGATACCGAACATTGACGTCATATTGATAAAATTTGATAAGGCGTCAACAAATTACGGATGTTCATCTTACGCGGACGTAATTCAAAGGTAAAAAGTCGAGAATTTTTCTTTAACTTTTTTTTTTGCAAAACTTAGTAATTTCGGAAAAAAAAAAAAATTTTTTTTTTTTTTTGTTAACTAAATTACAAAACTCCGTAAAAATGAGCAAATTGAAAAAAGGGACAAATTTAGTAATTTCATCAGAAAATCAAAATATTTTTTGTTTATGTCAGGGGGAGGTTATATTATTATCTAAAATTGGTAAAGATTACGTATAAACCGCAGCATTTATGTAGTATGAGAATTCAAAATAACCGAAAACATTTTTTATCCCGATAGTAACGGATGGCTAGATGATCAAGATGATCAACCTGAAACGGCCGAGTTTCCTTCCACCGAATCCATAACGATTACAACAACCATATCGGGATGTGAATTATCGTCAACACCTAAATCAACAACAATTTGTAACAATGCGCTCTCTTTAAATATGGTACAACCACGAGACGATGTTTCAACACCAAAGGTAATAATCTTCTCGTCAATGAATGGTGGTGATCCTGGAATAAGGGATAAATATTATGGAGATTTTAAGATATTATCAAAGGCTAAATCAAATTTGGCATTAATAAGACGATCTGATGCGAAAAAGGTTTCAAAGTTAAAACCTAAAACTTCTTTTGTCGAGTTTATATCAGAAACGGGACCTTGGATGGAATTGCTCGAAAGCAAAGAATTAAAAATATGGTCCATTTTATTCGGAATCTTATATTCGTCCATTATAATCTCGTCATTTTCATTATTCGTCTTGGCCATAAAAAAATATAAATGTGCTCCTACAAATCCAAGATTATGGTTATTTATTGCAATTATTTCTTGCGCATGCAGTAAGTTAACATTTGTTAGGTTCGAATTACCATTTTTAGTTATATATATATTTATCTATATATATCATAAATTTTAGTTTTCCTTTCTATGCTGGAATATGATCCATGGGCCATGCGTTCTAATCATTTATCAGAGTTGAAGTATGAATCTATCGTCATGACGGGATATTACGTGTTATGCCTTTCTTATGCGATATTCCTGTTTCCATGGTAAATTTCGCGAATTCAATCTAATACGCTCTTTATTACCACACGATTTTAATCTTCCTCGATCGATTTTATAGGATCAAAGCGACAAAGAATTTGTCAGAAGAAGTAATTTATAGGATAGAATTGGTTCAAAAGTTATGTCGCATATTTCAATTTGGAATAATAATCGCTATATTGTTGAAAACAGGATCTATAATATTTTACCTGTTTCGATTTTCTTCAATGAAATTTATAATACCTTCAAAAATATTACAATTGATATTTATGATACTGGAAGGATTATTCTGTTTGATTACGATGTTGATTTTCGGGATTTTCGGTACCATCATTTTCTTTGCAAGAATGCATGAACAACGTTTGATACGAGCATTAAGAAAAAGAAGAAGACCAAATAATGACGTTCCAAGTCAACCTAGTGCGCGACAGGCACGTGTTGATAAAGAAATTATCACGGTAAATATAATCATAATATTTCTGTTTTTGTATCTTTTTTTAATTCTAAGAATTAACATTTTATTTTTATTTTCCTTTTAGTCGCTTACGCTAACAATATTATTAATAATATCGCTTTTATTTATCACATTGCAAAAAGTTACAATATATTTATCAGTAACAATACAATCATTTTGGATAACGAGGATAACATTTGACGTGTCAAATATCTTTTGTAGTTTAGTGTTATTATTCGGATTACATTCAAATACTATTGGAAAATATTCTCACATGACGTACACTGGTAGTAGTGATGAAAACGTTACTATCTCCACCATCTCACCTCCCCCTTCAAGGGATTCTTCTTTACATAATTCGAGTATTGCCGCCGGCGCTACTTCTCGTCATAAAAGAAGAACTACTGTGGAAATTTTATTTGGTAGAAGGAGTTTAGGATTGTAAATAATTTTATAGTAAAGACGATAAAAAGGGGTTTATCATTTAATATTTATCATTAATATTTATCATTAATATTTAGTTTAATATACTTCTTACACATTATCAAATTTGTAAATAGCATTTTTTTATGGGATGGGAATTTATATCATATCACATATATATTACTGATATCGGGAAATGAAATAATAATATGAAATAATAAAACGGACTGAAAATTACTTTAATAATACTTCAAAAAATTTACCAAACCAATTTACTATTATTAATTTTTGTAAAAGGGACCAGACCAAATTTGGCTAATGAATTATTAGTCATTAAACCTTGAGAGTCAAATTTAGTAATTTGTTTAAAAAACAGATCTATAGCATTTTTATCAAAAGAATGATAAAGATATTTATAATCTAAATCGGAGTCCAAATGATGATCCCAATGAAATCTGGCCTTGTATTTTAATGCAGTGCTTATAAACATATTTATAATAATCGATTCTAGTATCCTATAGGGTTAATAATAATATTATTATTTTAATTTAATTTTTTTAAAAAAAAAGTCATCTACTTATATATACTAGGATTGGCATTTCAACAAAACATCTAGGTTCACCATTCACATTATAAGCCATAGATATTTATTGAGAAGAGGTAGCAGCAAATCATACAGCAAGAGGACTATTAATATTATAATTAAATCTTATTCTAATTTCTTAAAGCGTTTCCCTTAAAGCATCAATTGCTTTAATATGATTATTATCAATCATTGAAAATGAAAATTCTATGACAATAACCTTAAAATCATTAATAAATCCAACTATATAAATATTATTGTAATCATCAACTATAAAATACTATTATATTGAGTTTTTAAAGCAGATTCAACTAATAAAGAAACAATTTTTGAAAATAAATTTAATAAAATAAATAAAATATGTCCTTCATCAACATTTAATTTTTTTGCAAGATCACTAATAATATGATAATTTAAAAATTCTTGTAACTATTTTTTATAATTTTCCTTGAAATATTTTACTTTATCTTCTTTTGTTGCAATATTTCTTCTTGTAATTAGAGCATAAGGTGTATAAGGACTAATCCATACTTCTGCATTATAATATTTTAAAATATCATTTTTACTATAAAGTCATTGTGATAAGATGGGTTTAATAGCTTCTCAAATTGTTTCTTCTCTCATTAAAATTACTTTAAAATACAGAACTGTTTTAATAATTACTTAATATACAATACCTAATGCCTCTAAATTTACTATGCTTGCGTTAAATGTTTTATCTTATTGAATTAATTGAATATTTGGATATTATTTTAAAAATAAAATAGAATCTGTGATTCTATTTGTCAGTTTAATTCTATAAATTTGTCTAACTAGTATAACAAGATTTACTATAACTATAAACGATACTAAGGGTTAAAAAGTGATCTCACTTCTATATGTTGAGGTTGCATTACATTTGATGATTAATTGGTCATTATATATTAAATATAGTCCTTTATTTTTTTTCAATTCTAATATAACTTCATTAATTGTAGTTCTACATTTCATATCATAATAAAAATTATCAAGTTTAAATTCTTCTCTTACTAAATTTAAATTTATTTTAGTTACCCATGATAATTTTTAGTATAAAAAAGAAATTCATCAGTTTCAGTTATTCGACTGTATATAGAAAGATTATTGTTAATATTACATTAAGATGCTTAATTAATTTTTAAAGATATTTACTTGAAAGTTTCAAAACTTCCTACAGCTTTAGCATGCTTTATTTCATCATAAAAAGCTTTCATAATCTCTACAAGTCTTTTCAATGATAAATTTCTTCAATGTTTTCACAAAATGTTATATTACCTATTTATTTGTAATAACTTCTATAAAATATCATATTTGTCAAAAGAAGTAAATGATATAGTATAATAAAACACTAATATACCTATTTGAAATCCAGTATGATCTTGATATTTATCTAAAAGGTCTTAAATCATTTTGACAACTAATTTCTCTAAAAAGAATTTTTTTTTACAAATTTATTCAAAAAATTTTTCTTTAATAAATATTGTATATAAAAAAATAAAAAAAAAAAATTTAATTATAATACCTAATTCCTTTTTAATTTCATCCTTTTCTTCATAAATTTCTGATAATTCTCAAAAGTATTTTCCATCATAAATTTCTTTTGCTTTTTTATTGTTATTAATTTTCTGTTTTCGCTATTTTAAAAAAATAAAAAAAATTCTTTTTATTTTATTGCTTTTTATTTATGTTAACAGATTATTATGAAAATACTTACTTTATTAAAATAACATGCTATTTTAAAAA